TATGTATGTATGTATGTATGTACATATTACATGATATTCACATTGTACTTGACAAAAATAGGAACTGGGATAGCTCGGTTGTTGTAGTGACTAGGCTACAGACTGGACTACTGAGAAGTTGGGATTCATTTCTCAGTAGGGACAAAAGATTTTTCTCTTCTCCAAGATGTCCAAACTGGCTCTGGGGCCCACCCATCCTCCGATATGAAGGGTACCAAGGGTTAAAGTGGCAGGGGCATAGTGCCAAGGTTAAGAATGGTGGAGCTATACATCCACTCACCCATACACCTTCATGGCATGTTGCTTAATTGATTAAGTCCACAGATAACTCTGCCTTTACTTAACCAGCTATTTGTGGCTAGAAGTTGGGTGTAGAAATAATGTTTAAAAAAATATGTAAGAATCTGTTGGCACTGTCTTCTCTCCAATATTTACTGCAGTTACACACACATGACCGAAATGATTAAAGATGAACATAAAATGTGTAAAAAGTAAGGTTTTTGAAACCATTAACAAGGTTTTATAGTAGTTCCTGTTTTATTATTTTGTAACAGAACCAGAAACTAAGCTTGCTGTCTGAAGTGGAAAGAAGTCGCAGTCACCTAGGAGCTCTTAAAAAACGTTATGAAGAAGTTACTTATCTATCCCAACAGAGTGAGTTGCTCAGATGTAAGAAAGAAGAACTGGGACCTCTCATGGGTAAGTTTCCAAAGTTTAAGGGTTTCTTCCAATTCCAATTTTTATAATCCTGGCAGCCATATAATCTAAATCAGGCTTTATTGATTTTAAATTGTTCAGAAAATATATGTCCAGTGCTTAATTTTGTTTTAAACAAATTTATTAGATCACACCAAATCTTGTCGGTTACTATTATATAAGCATCATATTTGAGTGACATTGATTCTTGTGCTTTATGTGTACATATTAGAAAAGTAAAGTAAAGCTATCCCTGTAACAGGCCGTGCAGGCCCATAGGGTTGTGAGACGTTGAGGTTCCCACATTATCTAGACAATCGGCTCAAAGATGGCAGTAAGGTTGTCAGCCATACGGGCTGGCCGCGCTTTACTCCCCTGGAAAATTATTTAATTAATTCCTGGTACTCATTTCTGTTAGAGGCTGAGTCGACCCAGGGCCATAGTGCAGCTGAAAGGATTAGGTCAATTGAAAAAAAATCAGTGACCTCATTGGGACTTGAACCCCAACCTTCCGGCTTGTAACGTAGTGCCTCAACCAACTACACTACCGCGTGCCCCTATGTATACATATTGTTTGAGAATATGAAGTGTTTTTGGTACAGAGTTTTTCTCATAGAACCAAATCTCTTGACTCCCTTGTGTCTTATATATAACTACGTGCATTTTTCTGTTCACATATTGTTTGTTGCACTCTGATGCATCTACTGTGTCATTTGTATTGTTCATACATTGTTATATACATACACATGCACGCGCACACATTTGTTTTTCTGTCCTGTTGCTGAAGTAGTGATCTGTTAGCCTACTGTTATCAGAATTGGAGTGAAATAATTATGGTCTGTGTGTAGGTAGATGGCATGTCTCTTTCTCTGGCTTGGTGTTGACACCCTATCCATTCTTGGGAGTATGAGGACCATAACCAAATCAGAGATGATGAGCAGATTGTGGTTCTGACAATGGTGTATAACACTCAGAATTACTGGTTCTCAGGTTTTTTGGAATACCAGATGATGAACAAAGTCCAGAAACCTGGTAGTTCTCAGAGATGATGAGTTCATGTGGCCTTCTTGATAAATTTATAGTGACTGAGTAAGAAGACAGGGTAAACATTTCAAAAGAAAGGACTGATAACATTGTTTTTCATCACATTGCACCATATGTTGACCTTTGGTGACATGTGCTCATATTTAATAACCAGTAATTGTATGGATGTTATTGTTATACTTAGAAATCTTAATTATGGGTAATATTATTTTGAGCTCAGAAACTTGTTATTGTTGAATTGAATTGAATTTATTTACATTCTATAAATCCTAAGCAGGTTAGTACCTTTGGATACAGAACAAGTCAAAATGTTACATACATAAGTACAGGCAATTTTAGCTTAAAAATTAATATAACTTAATTTTACATCATTCTCTATTTACATTGAAGTATTCATCTAAAGAGTAGAAGGAATGAGCATGTAGATAATTCTTTAACTCTGATTTAAACTTTTTAGTATCATTGCCCAAGTTTTTAATACTTTGTGGCAGATTGTTGAACACTTTTATGCCAGTAAAGTAGACTCCTTTTTGATATACTGATAAAGTTGATGAGGGTAGGTGGAAGTTATATTTTTGTCTAGTATTCATGTTATAGACATCAGAATTTAATTTGAATTTATCTTTGTTGTAAACAACAAATAGGAGAAATTTGTAGGTGGGAAAAGTCCCAGATATTTCGCTGTGGATTGTGATCTTAAAGATAATGAGATTTGCATTCGGTCCCCAACATTTTGTCACAACTGAGAACAATAGTTCTCTTAATGCACTACAACAGATGTGTTTATGAACTTAATGGAGTGTCATTGTAGTGATTCCTCTCTTTCAGACCTGGTGTCAGATGGACTAAAAAACACGGATCTCTTAAAAAATGCACTAGACACTGGATTGCCTGTTAAAGGGTTCAAAGCCGAGTCAAATGCCTGTAAGTAGAAATATGTCAAAATTTACTGACTTCATTTTCTACAGAAAAAGCAGCAGCCCCCCAGACCACTACTCATAATAGCTCACACATACCCTTCAGCTTGCTTTCCTTACTTATTAAGAAAAGACAGGCTTGCAGTATCGTGTCTCAGTCCCCTCCAATAACGTTTGAACCACTCGACCAATTTTCATAAAACTTTGAATGAGTATCATGCAACTAAGCAGTGTTCCATGGCCTTTCTTCCTTAGAGCACATCCAGGTTTCTCAAAGATGTGTGATGGCACACCACAAAATTTTGCCTCAGGAAAAAGGGCCATAAACGTGTAAGAATGTAGGCATATGAAAACAAAAATATGACACATGCTTACTGTTTTGTTGAAGGCATGTTTTTCTAGCTTATTGCGAGATAAACAGTAGTTTATCACAATAAACACTTGAGCATGGATGTTAGCATGTTACTTATAATTCCTTGTGATGAATGCACCTGTTATATGTACACTGTATATACTTTTACAATATTCTGATTTTAGGTAGTCTCAAGAATACATTATGTGATAGCAGTAAGGCGCTGGAGAAGACATGGGGAGCAACCTGTGAACATGGGGCACTTTATGACAAAACAGGCCAAGAAGTAGCAGATATTCTAAGTACTTTAACGAGTATTGCTGAAGCACAAAGGAGGTACAGTATACATTCTGATTTGTAGCATATGAACTGCTGGGGTTATTTCATGCCAAATAACTGTGAATTGGAGGGGAGAGCAGGCCTATATGTTCCTGACACTTTAAAGGATTCCCAATATCTACTTCAGTTCTTGGGGCATCTGTTCACTAGCCAAAATGCATATTCATTAAAATTCACTGAAGACATTCAGCATTAAAAATTTGTTCATGTAAGATGTTTAAAGATGCCTACCTATTTTTCCCCATGTAAGAGGTTTCTGCATAATAGGATTTCCTGTGTGAAAGATTTTAAAATTTTTTTTCACTAAAGCATTACTTCTTCTTGGAGAAAGAAATATATTACAAGCTGTACATAGTGTTTGAATTCATATGTCACTGATACTTGGTCAATCTTGGCATGAATGTCATCAGCTTGATTGGTTTACCTATGATGTAGATAGAGTACACAAAGTGAACAAAGCGACTATAAAAATTTGTTGGACACGCCAGTTTCTTTGTTGAAAGAAAACAAAATGTTGTCAGATACAGGGAACACCTGAATATTGTCATGTGTGTAATCGTTTGAAACGAGGTTTGGTTCGGTAATGGATTAACCTGACTCCTACACAACTTGTGACTGTACTTTACAGTTAACTATAACATGTGCTAAGTCTTTCTATGTCTTTACTATGCATTGCTGTGTTGTGGCTTCCAACAGTGGGGATTCCTCCACCGGGGCGACTCTCATGAGAGATTCAGACTTGTCTGTCTGTTTGCCTGCAGATTCTCCTGGCTTGTCCAGCTGGTCTCCTTATATAGCCTATGCATGGACCCAACAGAGAACACCACCTCCAACAGCTCCTCTGTTGTTGCATTCATTGCCATGAAAACATGTTTGCCAAGACGTTCCCTAGCAATGTCCACCTAATAAGATCCATTTACATTTTCAGTAAATGAAATGGAGTCCCATTGTTATCTAAGAGAGTACACAATTCAAAATTGTTAATAATTTCAGAAAATTTTTAAATGGTAAAATTCCCTCTTCTTCCTTGCAGTGAACAAGCACAATTTACTCCATAGAGCAGAGTCCTTCCTGAGAAGCTTATAATGACTCGGGTGGTCAGAAACTTCACTGACTATTTACAGAATTCAATGGTTAACAGAGTCCACCACTCCTTTAATTTTTTTAACTAAAATTTTGTACAAATTTATTATTTCCCCATGTGTTCTACATGTCCAGTCTATCCCATCAACCACACCTGTTACTTTGTTCTGTTTATTTCTTAAACAGGAAGCCTAAAAAATATGTAGTCTCATATTAGTTTCACCAGGTGGCAGCATGTAGTGGATGCCTTAAAATCAAGCATGTATCTTTCTACACTGTGTCTCCCCTTCATTTACAAATAAACATATGTGTGAAATTTAATTTATCTCATTTGTGAGAGACATAGTTGTAATTACAGAGAATGTATGCTGTGTTTTTGCAGATGTGGTGCAAGTTCAACCGCTCTCAACCATGAGGTACTGAAAGAAAGTTGCCTCAAAGTTATGCAGCAAAGGAACAAAAAATTATAGGAAATATAATATTGAGTTAGCCTACAGCTTACCAGTTTGTTTACTTAATAATTGTCAATTATGACTTAAAAACAAAATATACTAACAGTGTTATTTTGTGTCTTGGGAAAAAATTAAAGCTACTTAATTTCTATAAAAGAAATACATAAAAGATTCATTGGTTAAAATTTGTGGCAAATTGACCTGATTCCAAAATTCCCAATGCAAGTACCACAGTATTTTGAGACCTACTTATGCATGCACATGTGTATGTGTTGTGTACATATGTGAGAGAGAGCGTGAGACTATAAAATATATTGGTTATGGGTGTACATATAGTATGTTAATTATAAAAATTATCACATTTGCACAAATATATGTCGGTATCTATAACTTCCGCCGGTCATGGTAGCCGAGCGGTCTAAGGCGTGCACTGTCTTCGCTCGCTTGGAAACCGGGATCGTGGGTTTGAATCCTACTCAGGGCATGGATGTTTGTGTGCGTTTTTCTGTGTTTGTCTACAGGTAGAGGCCTTGCAACGAGCTGATCACTCGCCCAAGGAGTCCTACCGTATGTGTAAGATCTAGAAAAACCAAAGTGAACGGAGAAGTTCATGGAGGTAGGCCTAGGCCCACTGGGGCTGTAGTGCCAAGGAAAAGAAAATCTATAACTTCCCATTATGCTGAATAAACAGTAATTCCTCATGTACAATATGTGCTTAGAAATTCAAAAAACAGTAACTTAGCTGTATGTGATTCTAAAGTTGATGTCTCATGTGCTCATGGAAGCATGTGTACTAATTTCTACAGGGTCTTCCTTGGATGCTGGAATCCCCAAAACCTCCTTACTGTCAGCCTGTTACCTGGAACCTAAGCCATCATTTGCCAAGGAAAAGAAATGTGATGATAGCCAAATATGCCATGCAATGTAAACATAGACATGTATTTCTTAAAGTAAGTAAACTGCATAATAGAACTCGTTCTTACAGTAGATGCTCAAAATGTCTGTCTTTGCTGTTAAACTTGAAGTCTCTTGACAGGATTATCTGACACTTATTTGAGGTCATTGGCCTTGATAGATGTAATTGTTTCACAGATGATGTGCTGAGGTTCATCCTTTTGTGGGAAATATTTAAATATGTTTAGTTTTTTAGGTTCTCCACAGATAAAAATCACAGCGATTTAAGTCTGGAGACCTTACAGACTAAAATCTCAGACCTGTCAGTCTATCATCAGACACATCCTTTAAAACAATGGCATAATTAATATGTCCTGTAGCACCATCTTGCATAAAATAACCATATGTTTACTTGCATCCATAATGGTTTCAAAAAAATGGCTATAGAATATTAGTGACAGACCACTGTGAATTAGTAGTCTGTTAAAAAATATGGCTTGTACTTGTTAGGAACACCATCACACATTACAAAATGCATTCTTCTCTTTTAATTCCCTTCTTCAGTTTCTGAACTTACCAAATTTTATATGACAGTACATGTAACTTTTTAGTCCCTCACCACACTTTTTGTTAAAACCTGTGCCTGTTGAGCTAATGGTATCTCGGTTTGTGAAGTGAATGTTCTGTTCTGGCTTCAGTTTTGTCATTCTGTCTAGTGCCTTTCTTGTCTAAGAAATTTCCGTTGAGCATACTGTGTTCACCAATTTGGAAATCATGATGTAGCTGCATCTCAAATGCCAGAATACTTGTGACAAAACATTCTTTTACATAACATGATTTTCATGTAAGTATTGTACAAAATATCTGCTCTTCAGTGCTATAAATGGTAAACATAAAGTTCTCCCTGTGCTTAACTAATTAAGCACTATGCCATGTAGGCATATGTGGGATGAGAACATGAAACAGACATGTGAGTGATCTTACAAGAACAGAGTGACAGAACTGATATGTATGTACTGAGTTATTTGCATGTGTACTCATGACCATACAAGGTAAACAACAGACACTGTGCAGTAACACAGCTGACATTCTCTCTGCCCATGCTAAAGCACATTCATCTACCTACCTCTTTAATGTTTCATGGTCATACAGATTTGAGAAACACTCTGCCATGTATGCTAGTGGGGTGGGACTAAGTCCCTTGTACTGCGGCCACTTCTGGCCTATTGTACCAGCCCCAGATGATAGGTGAGGGTGATTGTGGAGCAATTGGTGGAATGAAGATTGGCAGGGGAAACCGAAGTACTCGGAGAAAACCTGCCCCAGTGCCACTTTGTCCACCACAAATCCCACTTGACCAGACCCGGGATCGAACCCGGACCGCTGTGGTGGGAAGCCAGCGACTAACCGCTTGAGCTATGGCATGGCCCCTCTGCCATGTAACTGGTATGTGGTCCATATGCAGGACTAGTATTTTTACACGTGCAGCTACAGTATTTTTGTACAGAATTTAATGTTCAACATAACTGTTTAAGAAATCTTGTAACCTTGTAAATGTAATTTATAATTTAGTGAAGTTTGTGTAGAATTTTTGCAGTGATTAGTCACCCACTGGGAATGAGAATTTTTCAGTGTCGTATTATAGTTCGGTGTATAATGAACTGGAACATTCTTTTTAAAAATTCATGTTTTGTTACTGCAGTTTATTGTCCATATATTCTTTTTTTAACAATTTGTTCAAAGTGTCCATTCCCTTTTACAACTCTAAACATTCTTGTAAATTTGTTCTCTGAAGTTATGCATGACTCATAGCAAAAACACCCAAAAATGTTCTCAATTCTGTAATTCAGTTTTTCTCTCTTCAGGCATTTGAGGACAATTTTCAGGAACCTACGTCTCTGATAGCCCCAGAGTAAAAAATCAGGGGACTGTTATATTGAGACATGGCCAGATTAAGACATTGAGGCCCCAAGCCGTGTTAAGATTCAAAGGGCTGCACTTGTTTGCAGAACTGATTTAACAGATGATTCTAAAGTTTTAACATGAATGTAAACTCCAGTTCTTCCATCTTCTGCAGCAGAATTTATACCTTGCAAAGTCTCAAAATCAATCATCTTGATAATCATGATTTGTTTTGTTCATGCGATAAACTTCCAGTTTATTAACTACCTACCTACTATAGCAGAATCTGTATTCAAGGGATAAATTTTTAGACATGGTTAATAGAGCTGTTTTTTGTTGTTGCTTTGTTAGAACTGAAAATATGAAGTTATCTTTAACCTCTCTTATTTGTCTCATTCGCAACAGCAGTATGGACCATTTCCAGATGGTGATTTAATCTCCACATCGATATAAATGCCATTACTGAATTGTATATAATTGTGTATATGTTTTCGGTAGTTATTTGCTTCACGTGTACCCCTAGTAAACAGCTCCTGCAATAGGGCTGCAGGTGGTGCATCCATTGGCATTTCTGTGAACTTGCTGCAACTGAGGAGGAGTGGAAACATACCTGATGCATTGCTATGGCCTTCAAAAGCATCACCATAAACAGTGCAAGTGAAGGAATGGAAATTGAGGAATTGTGGAAATATGTGAAAATCCAGTCAGGACTGTTGGCATTGGCTAACATTCAGCCATGGGTGTCCAAAATACAAATACAATGCTCTGCCAGTAATCAGTAATTCCTTGGGAGTAAAATGCTTCGATGCCAGTCACGGTAGCCAAGCAGTCTAAGGCTGTCTTCGCTTGCTTGGAAACCGGGATTGTGGGTTCAAATCCCACTCAGGGCATGGATGTTTAGTTTGTGTGTGTGTGCGTTTTTTTGTGTTTGTGTACAGGTAGAGGCCTTGTGACGAGCTGATCACCTGCCCAAGGAGTCCTACGGAATGTGTAAGATCTAGAAGTGAATGGAGAAGTTCATGGAGGTAGGCCTAGACCCACAGGGGCTGTAGTGCCAAGGAAAAAAATGCTTTGATAAATATATCTTGACTGAAACAGTGTGAAATTTCATGTTCTATAAAACCAGTGAAGTTCTGGTGAGAACTGAGATCCTCATGGTGATGTGAAGCCATGCAGTTTGGTACCAACATTTTGGAGGCTACTGTGTCCTTCATCTTTAGGGCAGAACCCTGGTATGTACCTATGTACCAAACTACATGATGTCACATCTCAAAAGACAGTCTTCTCCAAAGAATATTTTTAATCTTCAAACATATAAATTTCTCAAGATGCTCTGTACCACAGAGTTAAGTGCTGTGTGGAAAATGCCTTCAGTTATGATCTTTACTTACCTAGCCTTTTACTTCACTCTGTCTCAAGAAACATTTCAAACATGAGAGCACCCATGAAGATTTCTGCTACTCCAGAGAAAACCTAAAACTTAACTCTTCAAAGTGGAGGCATTTAAATACATGGTCAGAACTCTGCTGTGGAAGGATTTTTATCTGGGCATTTAAATTTAATCTTTATTAGATTTTACTTAGAAAAGCATTACATCTCTAATAATTGATAGACTTCAATGAAACTTGGAAAAGTTATTCAGTATACACTGTATGTCTAGAAATAAAATAGATTTTACTTCAGTAGTTAAGCTTGTATGGTGTTTCTTGAAACATCCTTTTCTACAGAGACAAGCCTCACAATGAGGAGGCCCGAAACATGTCTCCCTCTTCTTGTTTTGCTTATCGCACACCTCTTTGTTGACCTTGATTTCTTTGTCAACAAAAGTCATTCTGTAAACTGTCTTTCAATTGTCTAAAGCACTGTCTGTACAGTATTTTCCTGGCACTTTTCTTTCCACCCCATTGCCTGTACCAGATCAATAGATTCACTCCAAACTTAAAATGGGCATTGTTCGAGGTGACTTCACTCTGCAGACAGTCATGGAGTTTAGGCCTGCAGCATTTATCAACCTCTTGAACATTTTATTGGGTTTGAGATTCTCACAGTGATGAATATGAAGATGTGGAGGCATTTAATCAGGTACAAGTCCACCATTTCAGAGGACTGTACCACCTCCATATATTTTTAGTGTCAAAGCATAAGTCAAGCAAGACACCAAAGAAGCAGCAGGTGGCATGCATAGATAAATGCTTTGCTTGCTGCTGTATGGTCCTTCAAAACTTTGATGACCTTCTACTACATCTACATGGTGGTATAACCAGAAGACGGTCATCTCCTCAACATATTAATGTACCACTTCATGATCTTCTTTTCTAGAGTTACAGATGTAAACTCCAATTATTTTGAGTATAATCAAGGACTGTCCCAGTTTCATTCTGATCTTCCATATCTCAACACCATGATATGTTAAAAATCATGGTGATGTTCTTTTGTTTCACATTTCAGGTCAGATACTGTGCCCGAATGTTGGGCTATCAGCTCACCTTTCTTCGGTTTTTGGAGCATCCTTCACGTTTAGACAGGGTTTCAGCACAGTAAGTTTTCAGTTTTTGAACCAATGTTGCTACACTGTAGAAGTTGCTCATAAACAATATAAATCCTATACATAGTAATGGTTCCACAAGTAACAACATAAAGACTGATGTTTTGCCTCCTGAAATCATCGTATCTCTCTCTGCCTCTATAAACAATGAACCACCACAGATAACCGGAGCTAGGCTCACACAGTTCACAGCACTTCTCAAATTGTGAGGATTTCAGAGGCACATATTACTTGAATAATCTCCTTTCAATCTATTGCAATCTTTTGACGCCAGTATATACAAATTCTGGAATTGTTTGAGGTGTAATAATAGTATGAAAAATTTTGAACAGCTTTAGGTTTTTGATATGTTGCCTTGCTATCCATATGAAATGCATAAATTTGCAAATTGGCTCAAAGCAGTCCATTAATATCACAGACTGAAAGACAGCTGTAGCTAGCATAGGATTTCTACCTAAACAGGACCTGTGTGTCAGTTTTTGGACTTAATGGAAACTCAAGGTCCCTGGATTGTGTGTGTTGTTCTGCATATAGATTTATTTCATGTACAATTATTTGTACATCTTCCCATGTAAAAGAAAATCTTGAACATATTTTTGATGCTTTAGTTACATTTTTTGTTTCTCTCTGAGATCCGTAGTTGTCAACAATCTGTCCCCTTTGTACTATATAAGTTGCCATGTCCTTCCATATATGTGGGCAGATACTAACCTAGCCACCAATGAGAACTACTTGAATCCCTCAGACTGTGCCCTTCTAGCGGAAAACAACAGATGTTCACAGCATGAAATACTTCATAGGAGTCATGGAAGGTGTATAACGCACTTATTTATAAAATTAGTTTATTTTTCTTCAGTTTCAGAGAAAAGAACGAGGTTTTAAGTTAGACCTTGACACACATTAATTTTAAATCACTTTTTCAGTTTTGTTATAGTCACTGCAACTATATACAACACAATGCAACCTTTTCTTTTTGTTCTTCAGTTAACACATGAAACATCCTGTGGCTCAAATTCACTCATACCTGACAGTGCTATTAGTGAGACTGCAGATCTGTGCACCTAATTAATGTCCATTTAACTACAGAAAAATATCAAAACACTTCCTTCACAACAATTTCTTTCTTGTTTTCTACAGTTATCTTTTCAACAGAGTCAAACATCACAACTTTGTAACCACCAGCATTGAAGTGAAAATATGTCCACAATTTGAGTCTGAATTATGTTCAATTTTCCAAAATATATGACCACCATGCAGAAGTGCATAACCATACTGGTAGTCTGCAGAATCAAATGGGACAAAACCACGATGTGCACACCGTTTACCTATCGGCAAGAACGCTTGGCAGTTACCTTGACTCTGCCTTATGTTTTGGTGGCTTGAAGCTCCCACGAATCTTCTTGTTCTTATTTTTTGTAGTTCCGGAACTTCCAGCTTGAAAAGCCTTCCAGCTGTTTACTCTATTTTGTCTGGATTCCTGAAAATAAACAACTTACATATAGGTGTATCAAAACGCCTACGATATTCCAGTTTCTTCAAGATTTGAACTGAAATTTTGCTGGATATTGTTTATTTATTAATATAATATTTTACTCAAATACTACCTGACTCATCACGCACATATCTTATAATGCAGACAAATGTGAGGTTCATCAGACAGTTGAGAGCAGGCTATGATACATAAATATTAAAATACTTGTATGTGATGCATGGCCGCGCCATAGCTCAAGCGGTTAGTCGCTGGCTTCCCACTGCGGTGGCCTGAGTTCGATCCCGGGTCTTGTCAAGTGGGATATGTGGTGCACAAAGTGGCGCTGGGACAGGTTTTCTCCGAGTACTTCGGTTTCCCCTGCCAATCTTCGTTCCACCAATTGCTCCACAATCACCCTCACCTATCATCTGGGGTTGGTACAATAGGCCACAAGTGGCCGCAGTACAAGAGACTTAGTCCCACCCCACTAGCAATAAAAAAATTACATGTGATGTAGCCTCCTTTCAACTGATTGAACCATTTTATGCGACCTGTTTGATTAGTGTTAGTGTGATCAGTCAAACAGTAGACAGTCAAAACTAAATATTGCCCTGTGTTGTGAGAGTTTAGCTTCAGGCACTTCAAATTATGTGAAGTTGTTCTTCCATAGAATTTTGTAATTTTATGTTGGCACTATCTTCATCGATAAACAGCGGTCACTCAGTCGTTATAGTTCACTTGCAGACTGAAACCACAGAATTCAAAATTTATATCCCATGAAATTATCAGCTAAAAAGATGAAATTGTCCATACCAGATTCTATACAAAATATATCTGGCATATATACAATTTCCAATCTCTGAGGGATCAAAATATAGTCCCTTGAATATTTAATTGATTCCCACCCTAAGACAACAATTTTCCTGCATATTTAGTCCTTATTCATATTTAATGTGGTTCCTGATATGAATAAATCTGTGCATGTAAGGAAGGATAACTTTCAATTTTAGTGCTAGATTATATGTCAAACAACTGAGTTTGAAAAAAATTTGAAAAAGTATAATGAATGCTCTGAATGATGGGTAAACAAACTATAGTCCATTCACGGAGACCAGACAGTTAGCGTAAACTTAGCAAGCCCCGCGTCGCCACAGCTGACAGCAAGGAGTGGACAAAGCGCGCAGTTACTTCAGTGTACTCACTGCATTCAAACGCACGTTAACCTGCATTCAGCTTGAAGAGTGAACTTTGGACGCTCCTGCAACGGTACACGCATCACGTGATCGCTGCATGATTTCATTCAAAGAGCGAAGGAGATACCGCGTGCATTTGTTTACGAGGACTCTCTCATCTCCGCGAATTGACTATAGTAACATAATCATTGCTAGAGGCACACTATAATGTTCTATATGTGACCAGTAAGCTCGGTGTCTACAATTAATAATTTACCTGTGTAAGCATAAACTCATGAAACCACAGCATGCATTTATCTGGCTTTTTCTATCTGAGATGCCATTTCAACGACTGTGGGCATAGCAGTTCAGGTGGGAAGGTATAGGAATCTCAAGTGACACACATTATAAATTTACATAACCTATTCAAATAGTTTTCATTCGTGTGCCTTTTAGTTCCTGAGCAATGTACATATGGTAAAATATTATACACCTTACATTCTGTCTAAATCATTGGTATGGTTTAGCAGAAGACAACGCCTTGTTAAAAACACAGGCCCTTCCTTCTGTACACAGTTGCCGGGACAATTTACATATTTTACCTCAAAATTTTTCTGCCATTCTTTTTCTATTGTAGCCTTTTCCTCTTCTTCTATTTCCTGTTCTCTTTTGCGTTTTCTTTCCTCCATATCTCTCTGCTCAAGGTCTCTTCTCTTCCGCTCCATGTCAGCAAACAATTTCATTGTCATCACGTACACAGCGTGTTTATAGTTTCCAGGGTCATCTTCATCCACTCGCTGCTCCTTACCCTCACGCTTCAACTTCTTCCGCTTTTCACTTATCTAGGAAATAATAATCCATAAGGCTAAGAACTTACTACTAGAAAGAACGATCACACGTGCAGTACAACACACACAAAACCTAAACAGATAGACAAAGGGGTAATAAAAATGATGAAGAAAGCAGTCTTCTGGGATTTGGCACCGTGTATATGTGGTGTTAACCAACGTTTCGGTGGAACGTATCGCCTCCAAATCCCAGAAGACTGCTTTCTTCATAGTCAGCGTCATGAAAACCTCAAATCTTACAATAAAAATGATGGCTTGCAAACGGGACCCACAGCTTAACATCAGCTCCAAACCATAATTAGAGTCTGGGTCACAATAAGACAATAAAAAAAGCACAGTTGTTAGGTTCAGTTTTTAAGATGCCAATTTGTATACAAAAAATAAAAACTAGGCACTGCCTCTTCAAAAGAAAACTGAAAGAACTTTCTCGTAAGAGGCTGGCGGCTGCTATTCACAGAGTAATTCTATATGAATACTAATTTTATATGCACTGCTTTATGATGCATGTTATACAGCGTTTCTCAGATACAAAGATCGCCTCTGTAAGTATGAAGTCCCACCAGAACTTCCCCCGTAAGAATAATATTAAACTTTCCCAATTTAGAAGTTGATCTTCTAATTTTCATATAAACACTTCTTATTTAATACATTTAAAATAATACTGATAAATTAATATGCAAGTATGATTACATGTTTAAAAGATTTTACACCTATTGCGGACTGCTTAATAACTTGTAACTTTGTCCTATTGACTGTTTTGTTCATTTCCAGTTTCATGGTTTTTGTTATTCGTATTTTATCGGTGAATGATAATCATTTAACATTATAATATACTTTGAGGGGTGGCGGGGCTGACATATTATGAAACAACAATTGCTTTGGATCAAAAATACAAAATTTTATCCCAAAAATCAACCTAATTTTTACACTTCCCTTATAAAAAGTTATTTCATTGCTGGTCCCCTGAAAAACTTACCTGGGAAATGCTGTGTACACTAATTATACTTTATTGTTACAGTATTTCAATATTTTTAACCAGTTTCCTTCTTTTTAATTGTGTGTGTACTATTATTATGCTGTGATAACATTCTTAATGCATGTGCAACATTACATTCCACCCAGAAGTTAAGATTATATATATATATATGATGGGATAGCGGCCTCCGTAGTCTAGGGGTAATGTTCCCACCTCATGACTCAAGCTATGCGGGTTCAAACCCGGCGGAGGTCGTGGAATTTTTAAGGGCGGAAAAATTCAGGGAACAAGTCCTCCAGGAGGTACTTTAAGCAGTGGGTCCCATGTCGTAGATTTACAGCATGTAAAAGATCCTCATGTCTCTAGGAGACCTCTGAGCAAAATTAGGTAACACATTTCCCGCCCAAGTAGTTTCCAATGCCTCTGGTAGATGGGGGGAAATATCAGGTACCGAGGGCCGTCCTTGTTGGCTGAACCGGGCTGATAGCATTCACCAGTACCAGTAGGGTATGGCGACAGTAGAAATTAAAGGGGGACGCACAATGGACCAATAACTGGTCTAAGTGCATGGGGAAATCCACCCCCTCTAATAATAATATATATGATGGGATCCATTAAGTGAAAATAAATGTAAATGTAAATTATTTAAAATGTCATCATCACTGCATCCATCTCACCATGTGATCAGTCCGAGCTTTTGCTTCCTCTATCACATCCAAACACTTCGTTCTTGTTTCTTCGTTTTCAAGGGTCTTCCAAGCTTTGTTGATAACTGAAATGGTTCGGAATATTTTTCTTAAACATTGTGCATTTCCTTTACAGATTTAATAATAATTCTTGCCAGACAGATTATTATACTTTTAATCGTTTCTTGCATCCTGTTGTGTGTTTTAATCAACAGTAGAGTGAATTTACCGACTACACAAAACGTTTTTTATTATCACATTATCACTACATGTTTCGACCTTAAGAGGTCATCTTCAGGTGTATGAACACGGCTGTATTATTACAAACGGTCACTTTCACTTTTCACTCATTCGACTTTGTATCTTTTCCATACTTACGCTCACTAATATATCCAGTTCTTTTATAAATAATAATAATAATTTTAACCTGTTTTATAAAAGAACTCGATATATTAGCGGGCGTAAGTCTGGAAAAGATACAAGGTCGAATGAGTAAAAAGTGAATGTGACCGCTTGTAATTATACAGCCGTGTTCATACACCTGAAGATGACCTCTTAAGGTCGAAACATGTAGTGATAATGTGATAATAAAAATGTTGTGTAGTCGGTAAATTCACTCTACTATAGATTATTATACTTTATAAGTAATATTAAATTCTTTTACTAACTTTCAAATGCTTGCTGTGCTCGGTCAGGGTCATCTTGATTCTTATCGGGATGTACCAAAATGGAAAGCTGGCAAAAAAGAACAAAAAGAATCTTACTTATGTGCAGTATGTAAATATACCACTAAACTGTATTGGCCTGAAGCATAAAAAGAATAGCCATTTTCCAACTTTCAACATAAATAAGTGATTTAAAGCTAAAATTCACCTTAAAGTTTTAAATGACATTATTTGGAGTTATTGTCAGACCAAAAATAAATAAGGAATTACTGAAAAAATCTAGCAAAGTTGTGAAATTGGTTAATTTGAACCCTAACCTAGCAATTTCTTCTGCAGGGATGAACTCCCTGTTAGGAACCATGAAACTATTTCTGACAATAATATGAAAAGTATACTACTGGAAAAGCACAGTGATAGTAAACAGTACAGATATATTGGGTGATATGTGAAAGGTACCTGTTACATGCATTATCTTATATTTGAATTATGTTACACTTTTACCCGTTTGTACTTCTTTTTAACTTCATCTAGAGGGACGTCAGGGTCAACCTGCAAAACTTCATATGGATTCAGGTTGAAATATGTTGATCCTGGGCGAAGCAACCTGTCAATTTGCTGTTTAGGTGTCAAAACTGAATCACGTTTTTCTATCTCCTTGACCTAAAAGATGAATGAAAAATGTACACTAAATTGCTTTTCTCCTAACTTCTATAAGCTTCAATTAGTCTGAAACGTATATAATAGAATCTGTGCATTACTTTTGGTGGTAGCCAGATTTGTCATAACCTAACAATTTGAAGTTCACAGCATTGGAACGTTGGCGTAAATTGGCTAAGAAGCCAATTCTGTAATCAGATAATTTCAATTTGGGTCTTACTTCGGTATAAAATTCGTTGAATGCCTCTTCTTTTCTGGTTGATGGAAGGACTTCTGGATTCATTGTAAGATTTACATTACAATTTGCCATCCTACCTTTACCGCTGAGTTAGCTCTAAAAATGAATCCGCGTCAGAAGTTGGCAACGATTGACGAAGTTCCGCCGCATCGTGTTGTGATCTCTGGATATGCCAGTTTCGTTCCATTAGTATAACCTTGTAGAAAGCGAGAAACATGCGTATACCAAATTAGACAATGAGAATAATTTGAAATGCTACAGAACTACATCACCACACGCACCCGTTGTGAATGCGGCAAGTGAAATAATATCAATGACTCTGTAACAATATGCAAATCCATAGATAAGCCCCTAGCGTTCCTTCTCGTAACTGTTCATGTGAATTTTAAAACGTCCAACAGATGGCGTATGTGTGAGTGTGTGAAATGTCTGCTTCGCTAACATTACAAATGGCGAGGCGGAAGGGGATATTCAGTGAAGGGGGCCAAGAAAAAGCCACAAAATCCGGTTATATTCACTTCCGACAAAATTTCCGCTATGAATGTCATCTCCACTCTAGCCAAACCTAGAATATAGGTTTAGAGAAATGTTCATATTAAGGAGCTTTATGCATTAGTTTTCGTAGCCGTAGTTTCGTTTCATAAAATCATTAACACTGAAGATGGAAACTGGTTTGCCGAATCGTTGGAAAACCCTCAAAATTCGACTCAGCCTAGTCCTGAAAGCCGAGGCCACACGTTTACACATATATACTTCAATAAAACGATTATCCATTCTAATTACATTACTTTTAATCGTTTGTTTACTTTAAGTTTCGATATTGCTGTTAGGTTTTCTTTTGTATAAAAATAATTTTCACGCTGCAACAAACCATGATATTGTTGTGTGAGTCTTTCTTATCAATCTTGTATAGAAAGCAGCATTTCCGACCCTACTGACGTGGGTAACTCCACCTATTAAAAATACGGAAAAGGAAAATCAGTAGATTAACAGTTTGCGTCGTCGTCGTCGTGTTTGGTTATTCCTGTCATTATCATTCATTCATTCATTCATTTATTTGAGGGGTGGGTTTCCCCATGTACCGCGACAAGTTGTTGATCTATTGTACGTCCCCCTTTGATATTCTACCAGTCGCCATACCCTTCCGATACTGGTGCTTGCTATCAGCCCCGTTCAGCCAGCGAGTTCGGCCCCTCTACTGGCAGTGGTACCCGATACTTCCCCCATCTACCGGAGGCTGTCATTATCATACTTTCTAATGTTTGTATAGAACACTTCTCTTGGCATTTCCTGTAGTAAATGAACTGAATTACTAATATTCGTTCTGATGATGATCTGTCTAAACAGGAATAATAATAACAGTTTAGGTATTTATTTTAAGTTCTCTTTTTCCTGAGTCGTTTTGTACTTCTAACGCTAAGAACTATGTGTTCAGAAATTCAGTCCATTCTACAAAATCTAAAATTTTGTTTGCAGTCATCTGCTCCTTAATTTATACTAAAAATGTGTAACATCGTTTTTAGATTACGATTTATTGTTGTCGTAAAAATGCACTAACACCACTCTTAAGTTACTTACTTCGCGAGTGGTCAGATTTAGTCTCCGGCCGAGCTACATTGTGGAAAGAGCCCCCCCCCCCTCGCCCATTCGGTTTCAGTCTAGTTAGAACAAGATAAAGTCTATGTATTTGTATATTGGGAAAGTTTCAGAACTCTGTCTTACCGTAGGAAAAGGCATAATTGGCTCTGTCAGAAAAGGCGGAAGAGTAATGTGGCCTTATAAGGCTCGCGAACTCCAGGTTGGTCACAAATGCAATAGGTACAGGGGCACGTGCCCGTTATTCCACTCAGCCCCCCGCCTCCTCCTTTAAGCGTTTGAGAGACTGCGATCACATTTTTGTGAGTGGCGGGGGGGTTTTTATCTCTAATGGGAGGAAGGACAAATGTTGGCGCCCGACTGCCCAGTATCGATAGTTATCAATAGACGGGTGAATCAAAATCAGTTGGTTATATGACGTCGCCGCCCACCAAGTTTGGAGAAAAACTTTGCGGGGTAAGGGGAGGCCTATTTTACTTCCTTGTAGAACTTAACTTTATCCAGTATACTTTTTGGATGGTTTTATGTGATGGTGGAAACTTTTTTCTTCTTCTCTTTCCACAGTCGTGTTCGCCTTGCACTATCAGCAGAACAGACCAGTAATATAAAAGAAAGGTGTGTGGGTAGCATATACAGTTGTCCTAGCAATGGCCAACGAAGACGTACAACAGACTGCGCACATAGATTTCTGAGGTTAAACTAGAAGATACATGCAGTTAAATTTGACACATTCGAGACAATTAAAAGCCACTGTCATAAATACTAACACAGGTACCCAATTGTCGTTATTAGTCGTAATGAATCTGGTTTCATTCTTGCTTTTCGGTACATACGAAAGTTTTTTTTTGTTTATGACTACTAATATTTAAAATCTATATGTGCGGCACCATCGTTCACCTTGTTATCTATATGAAAAATGTACCATCAAAGGATTTACCAGTTGTTACGTGTTAGACTAGGCATGGGGTTTGGTTTAAAAATTGGATGGCTTAAGGCTTTTAACTCGTAGCTTTCACTAATCTACACACTCTACAAATCACTATTGCAACCACTTATTCTTCTGTTTCACTAGTCGTTGTTTAGTAGCGGCGTCTAACAATCGAGATTCTTCAGCTTCCGTACTCACATCCTTGCCGTCTGGCTACCATCTCACAACTAACACATGGCTCAGGACCCAAGGTATTAACCAATATGACAGAAGCATAAACTTCTGAGGTGGTAGTAACATTAGTGCCACTTAATACAGGGTCCCGAAATTGAAAAGAGAGTACAATTGGCCCTCTCGAAATCTGCATTTACTATTCCATTTGATAGGGATACCTAATTAATTTTGAGAGTCAGACATATGAAATTTAATACAGCTCGCCCAAATTGTGCATTAAATACTGTTGCGCATTTAACAATTGAAAATATTGTTATATTTGTAACAATTAGAAGCATTCAGAATGCAAACATCTGAGAAAGCATGTGGAAACTGCCATGTATTTCGGTATAGGTTACGCCTTTTCAATCTTGTTTCTGTTTGACTGAATCAGTACTGATGTCATATAAAATGTTTTTTCTTCTTCAAAAAACACGAAAATTCTATGATTTCTTTTTCCACTTACAGAACCAATGGGTGACAGTGGTATAGAAAATACTGAGGGAATGCAGCTGGCATTTCTTCTGAGATATTCCGACGAATGCAGTTGGTCAGTACCTAAATATTTTTTTATGTGAGTGTGTGTGCGCGCGCCCTGTGCAGTAGCGTATGTCAGTTTCCTCCTGTCGTGCTTATTTTGACTTATGTCAGTGCTCCTTAAACATTTTTCGGACAACACAACAGGTTACATGGCAATAACGCTCTAAACTTGTATTCGAGAGGTGATTGGTTCAAATCTCGGAGGAAACACCAGCTATCCTGGCTGACCATTATCGTGATTTTCTCTGTTCCTCCGAGGAAATTCCGGGGCAGAACTATGACCGTTTCCTTCCACACCCTCTCCACGTTTCCGTAGATTTCTTGCCATATCTCACTCTTCTGATGTTCCTGTTCCCAGTGAAATGGCGCTAATATGGTTCGTGCCTACGTCATGTTACCTACTTTTTTTCCCCCTTGGCACTACAGCCCCAGTGGACCTAGGCCTACCTCCATGAACTTCTCCGTTCACTTCGGTTTTTCTAGATCTTACACCTTCAGTAGGACTCCTTGGGGGGGGTGATCAGCTCCTCGCAAGGCCTCTACCTATACACAAACACAGAAAAACGCACACACACAAACTAAACATCCATGCGCTGGATGGGATTCGGACCCACGGTCCCGGTTTCCAAGCGAGCGAAGACAGTTCATGCCTTAGACCGCTCGGCTACCGTGACCGGCAGTGTATAAGAATAATATATAAGAATTCGGTTCGTACCTCACAGGAAACAGATCCGAACCCACGATCCCGGCTTCCAAGCGAGCGAAGACAGTGCGTGCCTTAGACCGCTCAACTACTGTGACCGGCAGTGTATAAGAATAATATATAAGAATTCAGTTCATACCTCACAGGAAACAGATCCGAACCCACGATCCCGGTTTCCAAGCGAGCGAAGACTGTACATGCCTTAGACCGCTCGGCTACCGTGACCGGCAGTGTTACCTACTAGGCATGAAAAAGTAAACTTGTTCCTGTGCATAACTAATTAAGCACTGCGTCATGACAACGTATGAGTGAGTGGATGTATAGATCCACATTTTCTTGACCTCGGCATTAGCTGGAGGTAAGTGATCAGCTTCACGCCCCTGCCGGTTTACCCCCAGGGAAAGAGCCCCCCGGTACCCATTGGATAGGAGGTTGGGTTGATCCCAGATTTCACTGTTGTTAGGTATGCAGTAACCAATAATTGTGTACCGAGAAACAGTGGCTTTACTTACAATGTCAGTTGTATACGAGAAAGTGTGTGCGCCCAGGTTTGTCTTGAAAACCTCAATTAGAAGGATTTCAAGGGACACAAATTTTCTACGCTCACCTTCGTGTATTTATGCTATTAGAAACATTCTCTTGTCATAAATATGTTTGTGAGCAGTTTGAATACAAGACGCAAGAACTGAACGCATAATTATTTGCATCTAATTAGCAGTTTTTTGTTTTTCTTCTTCTTCCACCCCCCCTCCAGATGGTTCCCAAAGTGAAACCAGCGAGTTGCGTGCTTCGCGAATAGTTACGGAAGCGAGATATGTAGTCCCACGCTGTTCGTCTGTTAATTGTACCAGGGTCGGCTGCCACTCCCCGCGTCGCGTCCGTAGTGAATATTTATTATCTGGTAGGGGCAATTTAGACGTCGGCGGGAAATAAAAGGCCTGCAATGGAATTTCTTTCTCTCGGTTAAGAAAAGGATTAACATTGTTCTGGAATGCTGATCGAAGCATTTACCTACAGTTCTGGCAACTTTGCCGAAGATAAGGACGGCGTAATAGCCAATGATGGCTTTTAGATTAAGAGGAACAGCGTCATGGAAACTTTCGCAGTTGCGTTTTCTTCTCAGAGAAATGTCTATGTCCATTTTGAGACTGTCTACCTTTCTCAAGGAAAGAAAGTAGTCTTATGAGATCACCATCTTGTATGTATGCCCTTTCAACTTTCGAACTTTTTGACGGATTTTCACAAAACTTGACTTGGTTTGAATATTATGCCATCGGAAGCCACCCAATTTTGTACGCTTTAATTCCTGCATTCAGTAATAACAACAATATGGCG